AATGGCAAGCAAAAGATATGAGATCCACAGATATGAACACCTATATATCTAAATAGGGTAAGAAAAGGAATATTTCATACTGTTTTGTGGTTGGGTGTAGAGTTTGTGCTATTTGTGAGGGTAAAATAACACTGAGGCTAGGAAACTAAAGGCTTCTATACCTTCTTCTTGTGAAGAGAAAATTTCAAAAGTTATTTTCCTTGAGACACCCAATTCTAGAAAACACTATTCTTTTGTACTTTTAAAGTAGGAGTTAGCAGGTGCTTTTCTTGAGCAACAAGGGAAAGGTTTGCAGGTTCCCTAAGGACATGTATTGAAGAGAACGTGGTGTCTCTCAAGGACAGGCATTGTCAGAAAGAGCTTGGACAGAGGTCTCCTCCTCCCTGTTTCTACTGGTAAAAAAAATTTATGTAGTGTATGAAGTTGCTGTGAAACCCAAGCCCAGATCATGAGAGAAAACCTTTACCTGCTTTTATCTGTTCAGAGGAACACTGATAAGCATCTTCTAAACTTAGGTATTCTGTCTATGTCTCAGCATCTCAGAACAAGTGTGTTCTGACTGTCTCAGCATCTGTGAAAAGCCAAATGAAGGGAAAATGAGCATCACATCTCAAGGCATTGTGATGGTGTAGTGTAGACGTCTAAATGTTGATGTGCCCAGGCAACTATGCAACCAGATGTGGAACTTTTGGCCTATAAAATTATGATTATGAGGAGGGAACATATGGAAGACTGTCTTCTGAAATTCTGAGGGAGAACTGCTGTGCTTCATCTGGATTTCAGAACTGATACCAAAAAACCCACAATGAAACAAGCACAGGTTGCAGCTTTCTTGTCCTAGCAGTTAATATTGCAGCATCCTTTGTAATTCCAAATATCCGACTACTACTTTGGTTCTTGTTGTGGATTTAAAGGTCCAACTTTGGGCATACAAGCTTGGAGATGTGTGGGGATACTAAAGCAACAGGAATATATCCTTCTATGGGAAGGAAAAAACGTAACTATGATCAGGACAGTCATTATTACTGGTACAGTTTTGCAGAAAAGATACATCATATTCAAGACCTAGCTGAAAATTAAAGCTTGTAGTACTTACTCTATTTATTCCCATGGAACTTGTGTTTCAATACTTCTAACATAAAATAACCCCATAAAAACGTAATACAAGTGAGAAACAAAGAGGAATGGGTAATGAACTGATGCCCAGTTACTTCATTTTCTTTTCAAAGGTTTCTTGCCCTGATTTTTAAAAAAAAAAAGTTTCTGAGCACAGCTTTTTACCTTTTGTATGCTGCTGTGAATTTGGGATGTGAGTGTAGTTGCTACACAAGGATGTGGTACTTGTTGGATGGTTAGGTATGAGAAACCTGGTAGGGTTACCTGGACTCTGAATTCTTGAGTAATTCGCTATATAATCTTGTAGCTATTGTATCTGAATGGCTTATAGTTAGGACACAAAAAAATAATTGTAGTGTCTTCCTATATCTCAACAGGTTCATTAGATTAGCTTATTATTCAAAATGAACATCATTTTTATAAAATATACAATTACATATTTACTGATTTTTTTCTTAATATGCTACAAAGTACTGTGATGAATCATTGCAAATAATCTTATTTGCCAAAATAAATTAATGAATTATATCTGTTAAAGCTATATTTTTTATGGTTTTATATTCCATCTATTTGCTTTTTTAGGTATTTGCTTTAATAAATCTGCAGAATCGTTTCCTGTCATTAGTTAAAATAGATGTGGAAAGAAATTTTCTTTCAGATGTACTCTTATTTTGTTTCAAAATTATTTGTTTTAAATGGCCTTCAGTATAGGAAAGGGAAGTTATTTTATGTCCTTCAGAAGTGTGTTAGATGTTTTTCCAATATTTTGTGCATTGTATAATGGGAACATGTTGCATACTTGACGTGTGGACTGTCAGGGGTTCCTTTACAAGTTTCAGCATCAGGTGGCTTCACTGTGAAATCAAACTATTTGGTAAAAAGCGTACAGACATTGGCTGGTAGAGGTGAGCTGTCCTGGCCTGTTCATTGCTGCAGAAAGAGCAGCAGACCGGGAAAAAGAAAACATCTCCTTCTTAAGATCTTGTCTCACCAAGGTAAATGAGAATGGCCATGTCATTTATCTGTGGTGTTTTCTGTCACATGCTGCTTACGCGTGCCTATGACCAACCTTTCAATACTTTGCCCTTTCAACAAAATTTAGTCTTCTGTCCAATTTCTTTGCTGTTTCTTCAATATCATATTAGTGAAGCACATCCATGCTCATTATAAGTTACATTGTTCTATTTAAGGAGAAATAGTAGTAATTGACAGGAGTGGAAAAAGAATTACAGTACATTATGGTTCAGAGGCTCAATGTATTTTTACCTTGGAGCGCCAGAGGATTAACAGTTATCCGTCTTTCCTCCTTTTAAGTGACAGGTATATATGTCCAGCTTATGGTGTTATGTGCCATCTCCTCAGCTGTTTGCATTCTCTTTGGAGGGAAAATCCCTGAAGTGAATCTGGCATAATAATACCAGCTCCTACAGTATGTGGCTCAGACAAATAAGAGTTTAATATTATGTTACTCCATATTTGTGTGGAGTGTCAACAGCCTTAGCATCGACACGTTGAAGGTGCTCCTAAAGCAGTCTTGAGTACTGCAGATTTAAATTCATAAGTCAAAATCAGAATGTGATAACTGCATTCTACTCCATTCTGCAATTTTGGTTGAAAAAAAATCTTGTTTAAAATTTAGTTATCATTAGAGAAGCCTTTATTTTCTATTTGTTTTGTATTACAATTTGCCAAAAGACGTTTAGGCAGCAGTCACCCTTACAGTTCAGAAAATACAAAAGAAGAAATGATAATAAGCTTTTGTTTTGTTTATTGTTCTTAGGTAAGCAGAGATAGTTGATTTATCTGTTATCACAGGATGGTTTCTCTCTACCTGAGGATTGGGGGTTTTTGTTGTTGTTTTGTTGTGGGGTTTTTTCCTCCATAACTGTGGACATTTCTTAATTTATTTTACTGATTATCTTAAACAGCTTGGTGTCTTTCTTACATGTCAGCTTACACGCTTAGTTTGAGTCGTGAAAAGAACAATGTAAGTCAACTGCTCTGCAAACTCTTGACATTTCAAAAACCAATGTTTTATGGACGTTAATTTCTATATAGAATCAGTGCCTTAGATTTTGAGTTCCAGAGAGCAACATTTTTCAATATTGGGAAACCATGTTTTCTTCTTGCTAAAAAAGACATCTTTGCTGTCTGTTTTGTGATGGCTGGAGGTTCATCAAATTCTTGTATGCTTTCCATTGCCACACGGTCACATTACTTTTGGAAATAGAATTTCCAATTTGGGCATACTAAATACTAGTACTTACTTATTTTTATTAAGTAAAAATGTATCCCATCTCACTATGATATTCATAATTGCACTAAAGGTCAGTTTTTTCTCAAGTTAAAGTTTTTCTGCTCTCCATCTCTTATTTGGCTATGATATTTAGTAATATTTCAAGATAATACAGATAGGTTTTTTGTTTCACTTTGGAAATAAAATTCAAACTGAAGTATGCAAATTCTCACAGAGAAGATCTTATCAAAAAAATTAACCCTTGTTGCAATTTGTTAAGGTCTTACTTTATTTTTCATTTGGTATACTCTTCCCTGGTGTGATAGTTGGCTAGTTTAATTACTGCCTCTGTGAAAAGATGAATGTAGAGTCTAAAGTATGTTAGTTTTCTTTAGAGGGAAGCACGTTTGGAGGAGGTCAAAAGTAAAGTGCTTGGAAATTAGCAGTATTAGGTGTATTTGTGTTCACCCTTAAGATCTGCAGTTATTCCGACAGAATGGCATTTGTGAAGGTGTAAAATTCAGAGGATCTGAAGATCTTTTCCGAAAACTCATCATTACTCAAACACAGACTAAGTCGACGTGTAGCCAATAGAGTGTTTAAGGAAGATAAAGTAGAAAAACACTTGCTGCTGTTTTGGTACTTCTGGATGCTTAAAATTTTTGAGGTTTTTCCCTTCAGATAGTCTTAATAGCCCGCTTTCCTGGTTTAACAGTACTTTTCTAATTAAATGGCATTTCAAAGACAAATGCCACTTTCTCAATGCCAAAACTGTCACAGAGAGGGTTGCTCACAGTGGGATCTCCCAGTCAACAAGAAGAAAGGTTAGCTGCTGCTGCAGCATTCTTTTGGCTCTGTAAACAGCAGTGTGTCCAACTCTTGCTGGCTTTGCAAATGTTAAAGCTATTCAGCACATATAAAATGTTCTTCATGCCTCAGACCTAAGCCTGAGAACCATGCAGCAGTGGCTATATGTTACCAAGTTGTTATCAGTACATGGCTTGAAAATGCTCATGTTATCAGACTTCGATCCACTGCCATCCTTCTGAAATCCCTCTTGTCCAATCTTTCTTAATGTATGGTGATGCATTAAAGGCCCAGTTTTCTGAGTGTGTTCTTTAACCTTTTTTTTTTCCCTTTATTAAGAAGACAGTCAGCTTTCTGACTAACAGTTTTGGATTAATGTGTTATGTTTCACTGTGATGGTATTCTCCAAAATCTACATCCTCTAGAAATCAGCAGGAATGTGTCTCAAACTTGTTTCTTGAGCCTAGAACAAAAAAAATGCAGTCCAGAAAAATAAGGAAGACTTTTTTTAGGGAAGCTGTAGCATCTATAACTGATTTAATGTAGTTTTCAGCAGACATTTTATAGACTTGAGAATCTTCATTTTTCCAGACGGAGGATCCTCACTGCTGGAACCTGTGAACTCAGATGCATTTGTTCTTTCCTACCCATTTGTTCTCTGTTCCACCCATTTTATGTGCCTTGACCATGATGATTTTGTTTTGTATTTAGTGTTGCGCTGAAGAGTAAGAGAGCCCAGACCCTCCAGGAACACATCACCTAAGTTTAGGTCTCTGCTAGTAACATGAGTGTCTAACTGCAGTTGTTTTTAATAACGAGGGGTTTCTTTTGATACTAGGTGATGCAGATGTATCTCCCATTCTGTGGGATTGCCATATCCAATGCTCAGCTATTTGCAGCTTCACGGAAGGAGTACGACAGAAGCAGGGTAAGTAAAAAAATGTGTACTGAACAAATATCAAACCTTCATCTTTTGTTCCTTCATATTCCAGTTCTGGGTACATGTTTGTGACACAGGCAGGGAAGGAGAGTGTTACTTTGGCAGAGATTCCAACTCTCATAGAATTCTAGTAATATCAAACCTTTGCCATTCTGAATTTGTAATATTCAATTCATGTGCAAATAATGTGGATATATCTCTATAAAAATAAGCAAGGAAATAACCTATATGTGAAAGGTTTTGACAGCATGTGTCTGCATAGATACATTACTCATATTTCTCATGATTGCTGATGCAACGCATGGATTGGGACAGGAGACTCCAAAGAAGTGAAAATAATGCTGAGCTCACATGTCATTTACTTCTCAGAAGGTCTTTACTTTTTTTAAGAAATAAAATTATAATTTTGAGGGTGAGGCTTGTAATAATTGTTGATTTTTTTTTTTCTTAAACTGTCTTCCCTGCAATAATGGGGAACAGTGCTTTTATTATGGATCACAGCTGCAAAGCTTCAGTGGAAATACCACTGGAAGTGCTAAACCCGCTCTTGCTTCATGAAGCGGGGGAGGCTGCAGTGGGTTCAGCTTGTGTACGGAACTTTGATATTTGCATATTCAGGGTTTTGAAGGTTGCTGTGAAGGGAAACTAATGTTTTCCACTACTTTGAAAAATAACAGTATTCCATTAGAAAATGGTGTAGGTATTTAAGGATCACGAAGCATCTGAACTTATCTTCTGTCCAGATTTGGCTACAGATCACTATATTTTGGGATGGACATGTGGAGAAAGAGACTTGTGGGGAAAAAAAAAACTTTTCTACCACAGATATTTTTTAATTGGCTTGATGTTCAAACAAAATAATTGACTACATAGAGACTTAAAATTTGCTGCAGATTCCCAGCCTGCACAGAACAATGACAGACTTTTCAGTAGTCGACATTTAATCTTCTGAGGGAGGCATTCAGCAGACAAATATTAGGGACATTCTCATTCATTGTTAAAAAATGATAAATTCTCGTTGTTGGACCCATCGAGAAACTGGATTGGAGATACAGATTCTTTGTTTCTCGTTGCTGTTTCAGCTGTGCAAGGCATAACAAATATAATTGCCATTTGACAGCTACATGATGACCTGTACTTAATTGCATTTCTGACCTTTTGGTGGTCTTCAGCTTTGCCTAGTCCATGGTTGAAATTAATTGGCAAGTAACAGGTGATGGACAAGGCCATACTTTGCTTTCCCTGTAAAACTGGGCACCAATAGTGGCAACTTCTAGTGATCAAGACCCAACATTTTTCTGATGACCACTGCGTTAGGAAAGCTTACCTATGTGGATGTTCTTCAGTGTTGGTGCCCTAAACCAGAATAAAGTAAAAACACACTTCTTTGGACCCATGGTAAGAAAGAACATGGCCTATTATTTTAAAAGTTGTTGAAATGAGAAGGGAAGCCCTTCATTTTAAAACATTGTATTCTATAGACAATTTGTTAGTGGTAAAGACTGAGTCAGAGTGCTATTGGAATATGCAAGTATTGATGTGTCTCTTTTTCTTTCCAGCTTTGAACATGCAAAATGAGTAATTATTGAATAAAATGAAATTTAAATATACCAGGAAATTCAATATAGCAAATCAAGTAACTCAATCCATACCACATACTTGGAGAGTTGAATTACAGCTATTGTTTCATTTTTGAACCACTGTGAAATAGTTTGAAAGATTTCCATTGTTTGCCAGGAGTTGGATTATGCCCAGTTGTGAGCTAAGAAATACACTTAACTTCTTTCTTCAGATACCCTTACCCCAAATCTGTTCCCATAATTATTAAGAACTTTTATCTGAATGAAGATTTCAATGGATCTTTATAAATCAATCCCAGAGATTACACCTCCTTTGCAATGCGCCATATATTTATTAATTCTTCAACTGATACGAGAGTTTTCTGTCCTTGTATGCAGGCTTTACTGGAAGTAGTGAATGACCTCTTTGAGGAACAGACTGATTTAGAGAAAATTGTCAAGAAAATTATGCATCGAGCTCAAACTCTGCTGAAGTGTGAGCGGTGCTCAGTGTTACTTCTGGAAGATATTGAATCACCAGTGAGTATGGGTGCACATTCTGTAGAAAGGCTAACATTTGAGTGGTGAAGTAGCTGCTTTTACTGAGGCAAAACTGTTTCATATCATATGTTAAGTACTGGACAGAAAGTATTCTTCTAGCACGTCATTCTTAAATGCAAGTTAGATACAGATTGAATCTTTAAACCACAGCAGGGGTGTTGATAACCCCAGTAGACAACTAAACCCTACGCAGCCGTTCACTCACTCCCACCCCAGTGGCATGAGAAAGGGAATTGGAAGGGTAAAAGTGTGAAAACTCATGGGTTGTCATAAAGGCAGTTTGGTAGGTAAAGCAAAAGCTGTGTGCCCAAGCAAAGTGAGAGAAGGCATCCATATGCTACTTCCAGTCAGCAGGCAGATGTTCTGTCATTTCCAGGAAAGCAGGGCTACGTCACATCTAATGGTTACTTGGGAAGACAACTGCCATAATTCTGAACGTGTCCTCTTTCCTCCTCCTTCCTCCAGCTTTTATTGTTGAGCATGACTTCATGTGGTATGGGATACCCCTTTGGTCAGCCGGGGTCAGCTGTCACAGCTATGTCCTCTCCCAATCTATTGTGCACCCTGCAGTCTATTCACGAGGGTGGCTGAGTGGGAAACAGAAGGTCTTGACACTGTGTCTTACCTGTTCAGCAATAATGAAAACATCCCTGTGTTATCAATGCTCCTTTAATCATAAATTTAAAGCATGTCACCATTCAAACCACTCTGAAGAAAATTAACTCCATCCCAGCCAAAACCAGTATAGAGGCATTTTCAAGTGGAAACTGAAAGGTACATTTATGATTCCTTTTGGTCACTTGAAGGCATTTAATGGGATGTCTGTAAGTTGCTGATGGATATAACTATCAGTGGCATGATCCAGCTGATACTCTGTGATCCTCTATTGTCTATGTGATGGAATTGGTGCTTACTGCAGAGCAGCTAGGGCAACTTAACTGGGAAGCAGGGTGCTTCCTGCTTAAAAAAGAAAAATGACCTGATTTGTTATCGAAAATTTGCTCAGTTCCTTTTTTTTTCTGGTATAGCCACTAAAAGGAAAGAAAAATCCTGTCTGTAGGTTTATTTGCATTTATCTGGAATTTATGACCTTGCTAACATTTTTAAGATAATGACTTACCAAAGGAGTGGTGCTTGCAAGCAGTTTCAGAACCAGAGTTAGTTGCATCATCAACCAAATCTTTAATGCTCATTAGAACTCTTTTTTTCTGCATATGTTCCAATAAATAATTATCAGACATATTTGTTGATATCTCTACAGTGTTCATGCTTTTGCATCTGTTATTATTGTTTAACTGTAGCAAACTGAATCATAGAATCCTTTAGGTTGGAAAAGACCTTTAAGACTGAGTCCAACTGTTAACCTAGTGATGCCAGATCCACCACTAAACCATGTCACTAAGCACCACATCTACGTGTTTTTTAAATACCTTCAGTGATGGTGACTGAATCTCTTCCCTGGGCATCATGTTCCAGTGCCTGGCAACAATTTTGGTGAAGAAATTTTTCCTAATATTCAATCTAAACCTCCTCCCCAATGCAACTTGAGGCTGAATACTTCTTGTAGTTTCTATTCTAATATGTAACATTACATATTTAATCTGATTGCTGGTTCCTCAGAAATATCAGATAAAAATACTTTAAGATTTTGTTAACTGACCATACTGTGTATTTGGCAACTCAGTGGGCTTTACAACAATCTAATCAGTGTCTTCACAGTAGTCAGCTTCTGAACTTCTCTCGTTAGTTTTTTTTTTTTATGAAATCCAGTATTTGAATGTGAAAGAACAGCAAGACAGTAAGGACTCAACCTGCAACACAGGGAGCCTTCTCAGCTACTTTTGGTGGAACATTGGATTTGTTCCCACCTGAAAGTTTTCCACTCTAGCTGTTGGCAGGGCTGTTTGGGAGTAGCTGTGTTTGCACATTTTAACAATTCTCATTAATGCTTGTAAAATGGATGATGAAAACCTGTCTTCATTCCTAAATTATGAAAATGCTGTGAAAAGATAAGTCTCCTTGTTATTTTGCCCTGCTAATTTTTCCCTGAGGTAACAGAAAATCCATTGGTAATTACATATCTTCATACAAATGTCTAGATAGTCACATACTTGTTGTAATAGGAAGAAACATTTGCATTGAGCACGTGAAGTGAACATATGACTTTCAGCATTACTGAAGTATGTCGAGTTTTTCAGCTGCTCTGTCTGCTTGACCAAGGAATCATTATTTCATTGTAGAGCTCTGTTAAACTGAACAGATAGGTGTAAGCTATATAAAAGTATTTGTCAAGAGTTGGATTTCATGCACGGTTTTGACAGGCACTTTCACTGAGGGTTTGTAATACTGCCATTTGTAGAATATGAGAGCCTTTTAAAAAGAATATTTAACATTTATGACTGTTGTTAAAATAAGTGACTGTCTTTATATTGGTATGTCCAGTGTTTTCAGGCTATTCAACACTAGTTGAACGAACAAGTAGTTGAAGGATAAAAGTGTTACTTGCAATATTATTCTTTTTTCTAAGTATCTTTGGATTCACTGACTGTGTTATTGATGATTTGTTGCTGGGCTGTGACAAGTCTAAATGATTATCAGAGACAGAATCATAAGTTTGCATGTATGGCAGAAAAAAACCACAATCTTATCTTTCCTAGAGGAAAGCTATGATTCTAATTTTATTTAAACTAATATAAATTAAGTGCTTTCAGTGGAGTATGCCCTAAATTATACTAGCTTTCATAAAAGCAATATTGAGGTTTGTACTTCATTTATGTATTTTCTGTTACAGAATTTTAATGTTTCTAGTTTATTTTCTATTTCTAGACCCCCCACATCGATTTTATAATTACAAGATACAGTTCTGCTATATTGTTATGAAATGTTACTATGTTTGCGAGAATAATATGATTTTTATTTTTCACAGAACAGTACATTGTGTTAGTAGCAGGCTGCGGGTGACATTGTTCACTTCATTTTTCAGCTATTTCTACCTTTGAGCACAAAGGGATTTTTTCCAAACCGCAGGCAATGAGTTCTTGTTCCTCTAGACAAAATTCTGAAATGTGGCCAGACAAGGTATTCAGTTAAGCCTAAACTTTATCAAACTGCCATAAATGTGAGGTTGATTTGGAGGTGGAGAATAGCATCTTGCCACCCACTTGGCCATATTTACAAGTGGCAAAATAGTTATTTTCCTGACTTGTTCCTGTTTTGAAGGATTAACCTATATATCAAAGTAGATTTCCATAGAGTAGTTCAATGTTAAGCGACGTCTAAAATAGCCTTATTGGTACATCATGTATCGGTGATACAGAATGGAAGATGGGGACCCACACTAGCATTTAAAAACATCACTTTTGTTTTATGTCACATTAACTACTCTTAAAATGTTTCACTTTTGTGCTATTGACATGTATGTTCAAGGAAAATTGGTTGCAATTAGTAGTGCAAATGGATCTTTCTGTTTATTTTCCTATATGAAAAAAAGTGAAGTTTGGGTAAAGCTCATGTTCCAAAACACCTGTTCCAAAGCCCTTTGAAGGGAAGCATACTGTTGCAGAAAATAGTTTCATGAAGGAAACTTAAAATATGATTTTGTTTTAAATTGTTTGTTAGTGATCTGTGCACAGTGTGTTATTTTGAACATGAATTTTCCATTGGGGGCACACAGATAGATCTTTTTATTCCAAGAGCATTGGATAAAAATATGTTTTAAATATAGGAACCTTACTTCACTGTTTTCTTACATATTTATTCATCTTAACAATTTTAAGTTACTTGTTTTTGTGGCAGGTGGTGAAATTTACAAAATCCTTTGAGTTGTTATCTCCAAAATGCAGTGCTGATACTGATAACAGGTTAGTGCTCATCTCTGCTATGGTAATGGATTGCTTTATTTTTCACATAGTTTTATTTTCTTATGAAACTTCTGGTAGATTTGTTTAAAGAGAGTGAGCCTACAGTTTGTATTCAGACAAGACTCTTGTTTGCTTCAAATGGAGACTTGCTCAAATAAACATGTGTGCCAATATTTTTATCATAGAATCACAGAATGGCCTAAGTTGGAAGGGACCTTAGAGATCATCTAATTCAACCTCCCTGTCATGGGCAGGGACACCTCTCATCTAAATCAGGTTACTCAAGGCCTCATCCAGCCTGGCCCTGAACACCTCCAGGGAGGGGACATCCACAGCTTCTCTGGACAATTTATTCCAGAGCCTTGCTACCCTCATACTGAAGAATTTCTTTCTAAGATCCAATCTAAATCTATTCTCCTTCAACATAAATCCACTTCCCCTTGTCCTATCAGCGCACACTCTTGCAAAAAGTGTGCATATATGCTATATTCCCTATATTGTATCTGTGTCTCAGAGAAGAAACAAGGAAATAACTGATTAATTTTTATTGTTGAACTCATGGAGAACACACAAATGTTGTTTTGCATAGTTAATACTGGAGAAAAAATTACCAAATTATGTTAGATTGTTTGTTGATCTCTTACAAAATGCCTCTTTACACTTGTTTTGAAAGGTATCCAGTAAAATTTTGTTTCTGCCCTTGTTGACAAGTTGGAAAGCTTGAAAACCTCAGAGAACATGTATTTCCTAGAAACCATGTTCCTGTGACTAAATCTTGTTTGTGAGCCCAGTCAAAATAGAAGTATATTTTTTGCTTAGTAAAATCTGTATTGAAACAAAAAGGCTAACTGGAAGTAGTAATAGCAAGCTTTTTGTCCCTATGGGGTTACTGTGTTAATTCCTACAAGTTTATACAATTGGTAACAGTAAAAGTAAATGTGCAACGTAAATGTCATGTAAAATGTCCAACATACCAAATGAGTAAATGAAGATTTGGAGCTGTTGTGAGAAGGTTTCTTCCACCTTTCAGGGCCCAGTCTCAGTGTTTATCATACACGTTTTATGCAAATCAATTAATACTGATTCTGAATTAGATTGTTTCATGTCAAGTGCCTACCATACCGATAAACCTAGCTTTTTGTCCAACTTGCTCTCCATAGCTTAGCAAACTTGAAGATTACTTCCTGCGTTGTCGTTTTTAAGCCCTTTATGCAGCTTTTAAAAATATTTTTTAGGTAACTGGCCATCTTTTGCCCTTTATTTCTTCAACTCCAGTGTGGTAAGAAGCTACCACTTCATTAAGGTGAATGTGCACATTGTAATCAAGGTTATGACAGTCTTAATTCTTAATGCTTTTCATGGATTCGTCTCACAGCATTACAAAATTGGGAAATTATTTCCAAGATGTGCAAGGTAACAGCAGAGTCTGGGGTCACACGGAAAGATTGATAGAAGGTAGATCTCTTTCATGCCCTATCCACTAGTTGAGAGATGGAAATGGTGAGACCAAAGGAAAAGGAAAAAAAGTGATAAAAAAATTAGGAATGTTTAAATACAAATAAATAATTTGTCGATTCTTCTGGGAATCACATTACAAAGAGCTTCAGAGTGGCAGTTAATCTTTCTTAGGTCAATTAAATGGATGAAAATACATTCCTTTTGTTCGGGGCAGGAGTATGAATCAAGGGATGTGGTTGTTATTCCTGTTTTTCTCAAACTTGATCTGTAGCCAGATTAGTCAAAACAATGTAGAATGGCGTTCAGATAACCGAGCTGGCTCATTTCTTGTTACCATAGTTATATTAGCATCTTACCAAAAAGCAATTTGTAGTAGCCTGCTCTGCATGTAGTCAGTTGAAGATTATTATAACTTCTGTCTGAAACACAAATAAACACATGCAGCCTGGTGGTTAGTCTTTATAAGATTTATAAAGGTCTTTTTCTGTGCACCTTAATATAAAGTGGTTTGGGTTTTTTCCTTCATTCTTTATCCAGCAGAGAGTGAAGTTGGTTTTACAAAGATCAAGGTTAGACTGACAGATATGATGTCACACTTGGATCTAGCACAGGCACAGCTTGAGTTATTGGCACCACAGTGCAAAAATAAAGGTTATTTAGGATACAGAACAATGCCGCGAGCCCTTGACATTTGAGCGTTTTTCTAGTGAGTTTTGACCTTTTCATTTTATATTCTGCAGCCGTAACTGATGTAAAGTCATGAGAAGTTACATGTGAAAAGAGATGGCAAGATGAGTTTCTTCATTACACCAGTCAAGAGAGATATTATTTCTTTGAAATTGTAGTGGAAATTGAAAGAGAATATAGACTGAGAGCGATTCTAGCTATAGGTTTTGTCAGAGAGAGAGAGAAGCTCTGAGGATGCTATAACTTTTCATGTCCTCACATATGTTCTTATACTAGTTTAGAAGAAATTGGCTAATAAACTGGCTAATAGCAGTTCACTTCTTTAGTCCCTAAATATTATAATGACTACTCCTGTCTTTTTTTTGCTGTTGTGATGAAATATCTCACAAGACCACATTTGCATTTATTTGTTCAGTTTGCAATTTTCCAGCACCATGATTAAGTTTGTTTGTTGTCCATAATGACAGACCGATGCTGTCGTTTTTGCCAGTCATTTTGTTCTTGAAGTACAGGTTTGCCAAATCCCCTAAATTTTCTGTGCTTTTGAACAAAGGTTACATAAATCTTAGAAGACCTGAGAGTTGAGTTCTGATGTATTCTTGACGAACATTGATGAAGGTGAGCCTAAAGAAAATTGGTGTGGGCTGTCTTTCCTGCACAGAAGTCATCTTGGCAGATGATGTAGCTGAGATTACAGTCCTGTAACCTGAGTACCAGTGCTAGTGGAAAGGTCAGCTGTCTGAGCCAGTGTGGGTTGTGCAGGACAACATATCTGCACTCTGTCCTGTTTGGGATGGTATAGAGCAAGTGCTGAAATTCCTGCTTCCACTCTTTCACCACCACTGTCTCTGGGATGATGAGCGCTCAGGTATCACCCCATTCCCTGCAGTATTTTTATGCTTCTTTTAAGGTATCTTTCTGCCCTTCTAGTCTCGGGAGCTTGAGGGGCTCATCTTTAGAGAGGATTGAAGAGTACCTATAATTTTGGCTGTACCCCAACCTACTGTGCTTTTTGCCATCCCTGTCAGGCAGGCTTTGGGGCAGGTAGCAAGGCAAGCAGCCCTGCAGCACCACTTGGTGCTCTTGAGCTGGGTTTGCTTTGGTGCCTACTAGCGCGTGGGCAAGGCAGGGAGGTGGTGGCATGCACCCGCCTGCATCAGTCCAGCGGGACTCGCTCGTGACTTTCCTCAGTTCAGAGAAAACTATTGCTTGTGATTTTTAGAGTAGCTTCTGAGTGTTCTGAGCTGCTGAGGATGGGAGAGTAAGCCAGCTGGCTGTGATTTGCATCAGAATTAATCACTCATATTTTCTCCTAGTGGAAGTCGAGTGCCTCTCTTCCACTGCAGTTTTAAAGCACTTGCTAGGGATGGAAACAATAGAACATACTCTTTAAACTTCTTCCTGAATTATATCTAGGTTTTTTTACTTGAATTCATTCACTGCTTAAAATGCTTGACATCCATAATGCAGTCCCTATGTAAAGTGTCTTTTCTTATAATGATAATATCATCCAGTTTTTTAAGCTGTGAACTCGGAGCTATGCATTTGAATTTAGATTATTAATCCTTAAAGATTTTTTTGCTTCTCAAGTAACAATTTCCTTAAATAAATTTGAAATTGCAAATGTAAATATTTACTTACCTTAAAAACCATTACATTTCTGTGAAGATTCATGTCAAAATAAACATATAACATCTATTACAGTCACTCAGGATTCTTATCCCAAATAAAAATTGATACATTTAGATTTCTGTAAATCATTATTATTATCTTTATTTATAGTCTTTTAAGAATATTGAGTTTCCTTTCGAATGAGTGACTTAGTTGAATTAGTCTCCAGAAAATCAATGCAGCCAACATAAATCAATCCTCTCACTTTGATTCTTTCAAGCATTTTACTGTGCATCCTTCTTTCATTCATGTGCATTACTTTGAATTACATCAAGCTATTGTAGTCTTCTCCATGGATGACGAGAGCCCCTTGTTTCTAAGTAATGCTTCTCAGATGTTGAAAATTGGTCAGTTTTCTTCTCAAAACTAAGACAACTTGCATTTGCTTATTCACACGTGGATAGCTACACCTTGCCAATATCCAAAACCTGTCTGTAGTAAGTCAGTGAGAATTTTCCTGCTGGTTAGATGAGGTATAAGGTAAGGACTTTGAAGTCTGCATATGTATTGAGTTTTCTGGAGAAGCTGTGGTGGAGTGTGGTGAGGTCAACCCATAATTCTACTGTCTTATTCTTATTTACTGACAGCTCACTAGCCCCCAGATAGTTGTGGCAGAAGCTCAGCCAGGAAAAAAAACGAAATGAAAACTTATGTATTATATATCTACTTGGATCCACCTGCTGCAACTCACATTACTGATTTTAAGACTTATTTCATGATCCCTTCTTCAGGTGTTCAAGTCTGGCATATCAGACCAAACTAAAAAAATGGCATTTCCTTTGAAAGGAAAATTAATTGCAAGCATAAATTAAAAATCACCCAGATTATTAGAGTAATTTGAAAAATTAAAATCTTACAATTAAATGCTTTTGGGTAGCTCTCCAGAAAATATTATTTAGAACGGGTTGTTTTTGATAATCAGGCCTTGTATCCCATGGAAACTTGGAACATAATCCCACTCTTGATTCATGTGTAAATGCATTTCATTATTAAATGCTGTATTTACTTCACTTGAGAGACCAATGTTGTTTTCAGTAGAAAGCCTTGTGAAAAGGAGAGAATTTTTGATGTACCATTTCAGTAAATACCAAATTGTTCCATAGGTAATGCTTAGTAACCATTAATAACTGTGAATGGTTCTGCTGTCCCCGGGAATATGCCTGTAAGAAGTTCTGGGGTCCAAGCAATGTTGACTCTCTTCTGTGTTTCCTTTGCTATGACTTTTGATAGTTTCAAAGACAGCATGGAGAAATCATCATCATATTCTGACTGGCTAATAAATAATAGCATTGCTGAACTTGTAGCTTCCACGGGTCTCCCGGTGAACATCAGTGATGCCTATCAGGATCCTCGCTTTGATGCTGAAGTAAGGAATTTTTAGAAATATTTTTGGCATTGCAACTATAATATAACACAATTTTATCGTTATATCCAAGTGGCTGTAAAACAGATGAATATTTCTTTTGAATTATTTTTTCTATCCAGTCTGTCCTCCCTCTTGTTTGCTGGTGTTATGTGGCTTTATACGGTAAGCACAGGTCACTGAATTAATGTATGAATTTAGCCAGTTACTTAGCCTATACATGATTCTTTTTTTCATTTATTTATAAGTGATACCTTCCTCTATGATGGGCTTTGATATTTATGCAAACTGATTATTATTGCTGAAAATTCCACTGTTGGTGTTCAGTGTTAGCAGCACCCTCATTGTTAGCTGTTGGGGTGACCAGCACTGTACACACAGAGTATAAACAGAACTGGTATCCAGAGAGACAAATGTTGTTTGTGATCTAACTAAGCCAACTAACCCTTTAATTTGCACGAATAAAATATATACACTGGATTAGTTATTTTTCCATGACATGTATCACTCTTAATAAAAGTTGGGTTTGTATCCTAAGCTATTCATCCTAGTCTCAGTTAAGAAGGTGTAGATACAGACAAAAACATATACATGTACTTAACACCTAAATAGATGGTAGAGGTATATGGAAAGACAAATTCTTCACTGAATTCTATCTAATTGCTATGGGGGCTTGGCCAGCAGTTGGGCAGCACATTAATCAGTGGACAGCCTTGGTCAGCAAGCTTACTAAACTATATTACAACAATAAGTGTTCTTGGAAGTGTTTCATGTTGAGAGTTAGCTTTGTTCCAGTTGGGTTTTTTATGTGTCATTAAATGGATTATCTCTCAAACCAGCAGAACTTGTCAAAACAAGAAAAATAAAAGGGACTTGTTGTAAAAGTGCACAAGAAAACTGTGGTGATGCTAATTTGTTCTGAATTTCAAAAAAGTACAGTTAATGCCTGGGGTCTATTTCCTGCCAAAGATATATGCTAAAATAAAGCATGCCAATCCTTGATATGTTCACAGTTGTATTTTTAATATAGCATGTCCTAAATAATTCAGCTATCTCTTATTTGTTTCACAGTTAGTCCTTTCCAAGTTAGAGGCACTGCCCAATTTATATAGAGAAAAAGAAAACACTTAATACAAAGGGCAGTAATAATTTTCTGCTGGTGGGTTCCTATGAAAATTTAATTTTTAAATTCAGTTTTACAATCAATTATTTCTGCAGATGGCCAAGTGTAGTAAGAAGAACGTATTATTCCTTATGACTTACATAGAGTCAAACACATTTGTAGTGATGAACTGGTATTCTGTTCTCTACTTCTATTTAAATGACTCTTTTTTTTTCTTCAAGAACATTAATTGTCATTTTCAAATGTTGATGCTCAATTTTCAAGTCAGTCACCAAGAATTTAATGCCAAAGTATTTTCAGTGAATTCATTTTAAGATACATATCTGAGGCAATTGCTCCTTCATTCCCATGGATTTTAGGTGGCACTCTGCACTGATTTCAGTGATGAGTTCCGAGTATGTACAAAAAAGCAGTGCTCTAGTTAAAACCTGAGTTACATCTTCTGTTAGCTAGGAGATGGCAGTGAACTCCAGTGTATGAAATATTGCTTTAGTAGCTTTAGTAGGAGAACATCTCCCTGTGAGTGGGCTCATCTCACTCTCTTACCGTAATCTCTTTTGAAAAAAATGTTTTATTTTCTTTGCATTTTTCAGCAGTGACCTTAAAGAGTAAAGCTTATTAACTGTAGAAAAGAAAGAATCAGTGACACAATAAATTGCAACAGTTTATACTATTTAGATACAAAACAACAAATGAGGCAGAAAATTCTCTTTAGAACTACAGGACCAATTAAACCTATATAGAAAATCTCAAATCTTGGTTTTGACGCCATCATTCCATTTCTTCCTAGTTTGCACTTCTGCAGAGTTCCCTACTTTTGCCCTTCTGAAAATGAATATTTCCTGGAAGCCCACTTTTATAGCTGCTTTGCTAAATCCAATTGCAGTTTGAGAATTGAACAGAGTATTTCTAAGGCACACTCACTCAGTGGAGGTTGTCTGTACTAATTGACATTGCCTCGATTACAGTTTGTCTTTAATTCCAAATCAATTAGCATAAGCTTTCTGTGGCAAGGATGGAAATGTTTGTATTTTCTTTGGCAATTTTTAGAATAATCCTTTTGACTTCTGGTTAACCTTACTGTGAATGAGGTTTCAGTGAAACTTTTTCTGAGTGAGCGCTGATCCATGTGAATGATATTTGTAAATGTAAGCTTACTCCTTGACTTTTCTTGTGCTAGGATGTACAAGGCTGCAAATGGTACCTACTGTTAATGGAAGCTCCCATTTCTGTGTTTTAGGCTGACCAGATTTCTGGCTTTCACATAAGGTCTGTTCTGTGTGTTCCTATATGGAACAGCAACCACCAAATAATTGGTAAGACCTTCTTCATTGTTCATTTTTATGCTAATATAAATGTAATTTTATCTTTTTAATTCTATGTTCTTTTTCCCAGCCGAATATTGTTAAGAAGCTACGGTACCTAGGATGTATGCTAAGTATCCAAGAAGGGATGCTTTGACTTGGATACTGTATGGACTTTTTCAGCTTTCCCATTGTTAAGTTATATATCGTATTGAAACTTGCAAGACTAATGAGGTGAAAACAAGTTCTCACAACGATAGTGAAAAATATTTGAATATGCTTTGCTACTTTTGCTACTTGGGTCTCCTTTTTTGTACACAACTGGGACTGTTTCCACAGTCAAGCAAAGTGGTGATTTCCCTCTTTAATGACAAAATACGTAGCCAGGGAAGACTGGCTATTGTCAGAGTTGTGGTGTGTGCTGGGTCAGGACATCAGGGGGTTTAGTGCTTGCTTGGTGGGGTGCTTCCCAGCTATGGTGTGCCTGCAGCTGACTCTCTGTTATTACCTGCTTTGGGCACAAAATTGCGCACCATTTGTAGATAACAGTGCCAGATTCCTCTGTTAACTTTCAACAGAAGAATTCAAGTCAAAGTGATTGCAATTTAAACTGGCAGGGTGAGACTTCCATCCTTGTGTGCTGTGGCTGTCAGTGAGAGCTGAGATCAGTGATGCGTTGCCAAAGGCACTCGGTGCCACTCAGGGACCTTGAGCTTATTCAGCAGAGATAATGTAGGCGTTGAGTCTTATAAAAACATGGCTCGTCGTTTGTTGTGAAGTGCGTATTACCTTTAGGTGGTAGAAAGAAGCTAAACCCTTGACTGCTGATAGTTCTTCTGGTATTTTTTTAAGTGCATATTGTAGCTAAGTGAAATAGAAATAGTTTGTTGCAGTAAAACTCAGTTTGGCTAGAGCCAAGAGCTTTGAACACTTTTTCAGGTGTTCTAAGGAAATTACTTTTTTATTGGTGCATTAAATTTATGGACCAGTCATGAGAAAAAAACTACTTATTCACCCAGGTGATGATAAACAAGCTAAGATTTTAGGAATGAAGGTACTGATTCCTCAAATTATATCAGAAACTCCAAATTGCTAGACAACTTAAATGACTGTTGTTAGCAAAGTGCTCAAGTTCTTTCCCAAAGAGATCTTTAACTACTTGTGAAAAGCATCATGACTAACTCTTAGATTTGCAATATTATACTTGGAGAATAAAGAATAACAATTGAAAGTAATAAACTGAGTCCTGGTATCAAAATAATCACACTTTTGCATATTTGTCTGCTTAATGATTTTCAGAATAAATATTTGCAGTTTTGCTTTTCTCCTTGAAAGATGTGTTTTAAATGTTACCAGTGAATAAAATATTCTGCATTGTGAGTTAATGAATGAAGATTGTAATTCATGTTAACTCTTTCTAAAGGTGTAGCTCAAGTGTTGAATAGACTTGATGGGAAACCCTTTGATGATGCTGACCAGCGACTGTTTGAAGTAAGAGGCATTCCATTTTTTAGCAGTAACATATTTTTTCAGCA